TATATTTACGCGGCCAAACCCAAAAAAAACCTGTATTATGGAGATCATAAAAAGTTTCATTCTCGGCCTACACGAAGAGGCGGTGAGTTACCTGGCACGTGGCCTCTGAAGGAGGCCCTCGCAGGTAATGTGCGGCCCTCGATTGTGTTTTTTGCACAACCGTTTAAAATGTGACGGATGTTAAATTTTAAAAATAAAAACGAATTTTGTCCAAATTTGATCGTCCCATCGGCGGCGGCCATAACACGAGACAAAGCGTCCTTTAGAATTTCTCACAGAGCCTTGCAACGGGGCCCACCAAAGTGGAAATCACAGAAGACAGCACCTCCTGCCCCGCTCGGCGTGCGAGAGCGACGTCTGCCACACGACAACGAAACCGACATTTGAATTCTCAGGGGATGGAATGTAGGCGACTTCAGTGCAGAGCAACGTTGGACGCTTCTTGTGTCGTCAATCGTGACCAGGCCGAGTCCATCGACTCGGCACGCTCGAGCACCCCGGGTTTAATCAGAGGCGGGCTGCTTGGATTCCAACCCAGGCCCCCCTCAGGGATGCCAGCTCAAAGTTCTGACCTCAGACCCTCTGTGTGGGTGGTATTAACGATCAGCTGTGAAGAACCCTACTCAAGACCCCTGGGGGGGGGGGGGGGGGGCTAAAGCGGGAAGGGACCAAGGCTTGTCGATCGGACATAGATGAATCATTTAATTGGAATCGATAAACCGGCAATGTTTTCAACCTGCCGTATGCGATTTGCAGGCATGCCTACGCTTCAGCCCGCTTCAAGTCAAGCTGCGTAATCAAAGCACTAAAGCAACACAACTGCTGCTGCTGCTGGCTTAAACCCTTCCTCCACATTTATACGAATCATTGGCCGCGTAGGAGAAGACAGGGAGGGGGGAGAGGGGAAACAAATTCGGGCAAAAGGAAAGTTCCAAACGCATGCCATTTGTATGCGGCTCATTTTCAAGGTCAAGGTCAAGCGAGATGTGGTTTTTTTTGCCGCTGCCTTGGAAGGATAACAAATGTCTGCGGCTGGCTGTTTAGTTCCTATTTAACAACAAGCCAACCCCTGCACCATTGTGGCCTGTGTGCGCGCGCGTGCACGCGCGCGCATGCAAATTGATCCGTGTCTGCAATTTTTTAAAGATGTTTGAGGAAATAACGTCACAAATATAATGGGTGTAAAAAAAAAGGACGTGATGTATTATTTTAATCGGCCATGATCAATCCGCTGCTGGATGAAGGCTCTTCCCCACCCCCCCCCCCCCCCCCCCATCAAGTGGTAAAAAAATTCCCGACGGACGTACCCCTCAAGATAAATTCAATGTCTTGGCTGCCCACTTCAATGACATATCGTATATACCTATCAACGCGATGTGTGCAGATGGATGAGCTATCTATATTCGGCGAGAATTTAATACATTTAAGTGCACAAAAATACGCTTTAGAAATCATGGTGAGCAGCATTTACAGCATCAAATTATATATATAGATGTAAAAAAAACAATGGCAAAGCAAACAAAGGAATTTGAATAAATTATTGCTAAATAAACAGACGTACAATTTCATGGTCTTGCGACCCGAATGCCCATTCGTTAAACATCCATCGCGTCAGGCATTCGTCATCATCGGCCGGTCACACAAACCGTACATTATTCACACGTCCGGCATCCTACCAGACGCCCCCTGCCCCCCCCCCTCAAATCCCCCCTCCCCTTCACCACCCCCCCCCCCCCCCGTCATCATGCTTCCAATCCACGCAACTGCCTGCCTCGGCTCCGCACTCTGCACTTCTGTTGTTCGACAGCCAGCCACGAAATAATTTGAATGAAAATGAGAAAAACATTTCTGCAAGTCGACTTTTTAGAGTCACTTATACCACATTGACCCGTAATAATAATAATAATACACGCCACACCATGACTCATTTCTTCATCATTTCATTTCCCTGGTGTACGAGCAAGCCAGCACCATCACCACTGTCACTCTCACCACACAGAAAAAAAGCAGTCAGCGGTGCTGGATTTTCAGACAGATTTGCTCTCGCCGCTTTACTTGAACGGCATTCCCTTTTCTCCGGCGTAACGTGATGATGAATGCAATAATCACACCGGAGAACCATGTCGAAGGAGAATGAACCCGCGATGAATTAAAAGCGGATTTTTAATAACTGGATGAGATGTTACCACGTGGCTCCCCGACGGGGTTAGCACTGAAGCAAAAGACACACTGAAATCCCCGGGTTCGAATCCGGATGTCAGTCACTGGCGATTCAAATCGGGTTTCTCAAGCGTTTAGTTAGGCGATCTCAGGCTGGCTACGAGTGAAATAACGACGAACAACTTATTTTTCCGTCGATGGCGAAGAAGTAAAACCAGGCTGTACACATCTTGATAGAAAGACGGGCCACCTCTGCTGGTGGATTAGAAGCCCGTGCAGAGATAACTTCCCAAGTAGTTCTACGGTGTCATCTTCTGGGGACATTCTCAAGAGGGGAGTAGGGGTGGTGGTGGTGGTCGTGGTGGTGGTGGGGGGAGTCGAGGTCAACGCTGCTTCACCAGCAAGGTGCTCGCGTGCGTACAACGCCACAGTAGCGGGCTCCCCATTACCGCGGTGCCGGACAAATTGCATTCTGCACGCATATGAGTTGGCAGCACTCAGGGCCCGTGATTCATCGCTTTCCAAAATCAACAATATTTATAGCAATGTGCCTGCTTATGGATGCTCTCCATTGAGCACAGGCCCCCACACACACACACATCCCCTCTGCTCCTGTGTAGTGGATGCTCGGCAGGATAATTGGCCGCAGGACTAGTAGTTAGGAGGGGGGGGGTTCTTCTTCTTCTTCTCTCTCTAAAATGAAGAGAGTAATTAAGTGTTCTTGTAAGTCTCATCTCCATGAATAATGTTTAACAAGGGCATTACCTTATCAATCAATTGTTGGTTAAATTACATTAACTCACTCGCCAAATTCTTAACCCTTAGCTCTAACTGTAACATTAACCTCTTATCCACCACGCTTAAAACTACATCCCCTTAACCCTTATTAGTGCTAACATTAATCACACTTCCATGATGCAGGTTTTTTTTTTTTGGGGGGGGGGGGTTAGATCACATAAATATATAAACGTGTCGTTGTGGCAAGATGTTAACTCCCTCGCCTAGCATGCAGGAAGTCGTGGATTCGAACCCTGAACCTGAGGCCTGTTGTATCGTTGGAGTTTGCATGTTCTCCCCGTGGTCGCATGGATTTTTTCTCCTGCTCCTCCGGTTTTTTCCTCCCAGTTTAGAAACATGAGTTTAGAGAGCATTTGGCTGCCATAAATGTCCACACAAGCCACTTCGTTGAGCTATCATTTGTGGCCAGGTCGCTTCTGAAAAAAGAAAAGCGCTATATAGCTCAGTGGGCCTTACCTGGTAAAATAAAACAAATTTTGTTCGCCGTTTTTAGTTTAGCGTCGTCAAATCGGCTATCATCCATCTCTAGTAGTGCTGCGTGCTGCCTGAGCGCACAGCACTCTTCCGTAAGAGTCGACACGATGTCTGTAACCTAAGCCGATGCATTTCCCTTTCTCGCCATCAGCGTACATCCCAGTGTGCACAACTCCCCATGCCCTCTTTGATGCACTTTTTGACACTTCGTTCAAAGTCATTCTCTGCCAGTGTTACAGCGGGTGCTGCGCAATGAGGAGCGGTGGTGGAGCGGTTAGCACGCTGCAATACCAACCCGGCGACCAGAGTTTGTTTCCCCGAATCCCCTAGGTAGACCAAGCCTCAAATGAGTACCTGGTACGCCGTGCAAACATCGCAACTCGGGAGACAAAGGTGGCCGGGCGTGGTACTGGCCACCCACCCCCTCGTGTGCCATGCCAGCATTTGCCCCAACAGTCTGTTGAGGCTATATGGGGGGGATCTTTGTCTCTGTGTGCCATGACTGAAAATGGTTTTCTTCAGGTGAACTCGCACGCCACCCTTCACGACATAACGCAATTTTGCAAATTGCTGCAGCCCGTTTTTTTTTGTTCCCGGTTTCCCCTTCCGTTTCGTTTGATCCACGACTTGCCAAGCGACAGAGCGCGTCCAAGAAGGGTGAACACCGCCCTCCGACTCGGAGCGATGCGCTTGGCTTGAACGCAGGAGCTAGACGGCCTGTTGCAATCGTGAGACCGCGAGAGGTGGCGACTGCTCGGGGAGAGGCCTTAATCCAGCAGTGGATAGACCGTGACTGTTATTGTTAATAATGTTAGGGAAAGCGTTTATTCTGTGTTGCATTAAATCTCCATTGATTGCACAAACAACAAAGAAACTATAACATTCAATTTGGTTCTGCGCTTAATTTAGCCGATTTCCAGCCCTGAGAGTTAACGGTCTGACGTTCGTGCGAACACCCTCGCACTCACGTGGCAGAGTGGGTGGGAAAGCGATGCCCCTACTGTGCGTGGACCACAGTGTCACCTGAAGGGTGCTCAAAGGTAGCTCTGCGATGCCGCTTCCGTGGGCCGATCTCCAACACGAAAGGACACTTGGTGGAATAGCTCCATCCCCCGATATGAGAATAGTTTTCCAACTTTTGCAAAGTTTTAGCTTCGTATAGTAGTAATAATGACAATAATAATGATAAAAGTTCAATGTAAAGGCTTTGGCATGGAAGAGAAAACCAACCTTCTTCGATGCCTCCTTTGACAGGCGAGTAACACAGCCATTCCTCGAAAAGGTCAGACGAGATGGTTGTGCCAGGGAGATTAACGGCTTCACTTTGGGTGAACATACCACCGTTGAATCTGATCAGATGGAAATGTGGAATCGCCAACCTTGTGCGATATTATCGCCGACAGCGTTTGTTCCGGCTGAACATGACCGCCAGCTGTTTGCCGTACACGCACGTGCAACATCTTTCGCGCCATACGTAACCAAACGGGCTGAGTCGGGAGCATCGAACACGCAGACACACGGACCACAGTGTATGTCCTCGCGACACACACACACACACACAGACTCACTCGATGAAGTAGATCTCCCCGCTCTCAGTGCACGCCATCTCCCAGTTCCCGGGTAGCGGGCCCAGCTCCTCCCCGTGGCCCCCGACCTCCAGGCCGTTGGAGCCCTCCGAGCTGGGCCCACCCAGCGACGCAGAGCCCAGGGGGTGCTTGTGGAGCTTGGGGGGACGCTCGCCGCTCGCCCCCCGCCGCTGGGAAGCCTGCGTGGTCTGCGTGCGCGTTGCGGGCGCCCCGTCGCCATCGCTCGAGTCGCCTGTGGCGCGAGGGCAACGAGGCGAAGGGGAATCAGAATCTTTAGTTATACTGGAGGAATCCGATGAGCTTTAAAGCGCTTTGTAAAGAGACGTCCCACTAGGGGCATGGCGTCAGAAAATTACGATGCAAACACGCGATAGGAGCGCGAAGGGTAGGAAAGGTAAGCAAATCACAACAATAACAATAAATATTTGTATTTTACCAGGCAAGTGGCTTATTAAGTCAGCCAAATGCTCGAAATGCATGATGTCGATTCTAAATGTGGAAGGAAAAACCAGGGGGGATCCGGAGAAAAAGCCACGCAACCACGGGGCGAGAGACACGCAAACTCTAAAAAAAAACAGCAGCAGGCGTCAGGAGTCGGGATCGAATCCGCGAACCTCCTGTAGACCGGGCGACGGAGTTGACATCTCGCCACCGCGGCACCGCTCACCCGAGTCGCGCCCGCCGTTGAGCGCTGCCACCCGGCCCGCGTGGCTCCCCTCCCTGTGCTCCATGTTGCTCACGGACTTGGTTCGTTTGCGACGCGAGCCCAGGCCGGGCCGAGGCTCGGGCAGAGGGAGCGAGCCGGCCGGAGGCTCCGACGGGGGCTTCGGGGTCCCGTAGAAATTTCCTGCGGCGGAGGACCGGAAGGGCCATTAAAAAAAAAAAAAAATCTTAAATGCCCGATCGGCAACTTTCCGACGAAGGTCACAATGATTTACACGCAAGCTCTGTCCGTCCATCTCGCGTGCTTATCTATCCGTTGGAAATTGGGGTGGAGGGGGTGACGCGGTAACACTCGTATAAGTTCCTCTGATCGACCGACTGCGGCGGGTTATCTAAATCTGCGTGGATGGAGGTGGGTGGATGTATGCATGCATGTAAAAATTATTTATGCACCGTATGTAGCCAACGCGCTAAATTGGAGGTGCGGGTGGGAGGCAGTGAATTAAGAAGCTGGCTTAGTGTTAAGTGCCGTGCCGGGAGATCGAACGGGCCGGCTGTCGCCATTACAGCGACACCCCAGCCAGGATAATGAGCGAAGAAATAGGTTTATAATGGGCGAATGGTTACGTGCCTAATAAGTACGATTAATTGTGTTACTGTCATAAACTAGGCAGTTGGCAGGTTGCAGTGTGGAACACAAGACTTGGTCAAGGCTCACCGCATTAATTGAATTGTAAAAAGGTACAGATAAATCAGTGCAAACATCAAAAAGGTAAAAAATTGGAGCCATGGGATGAAGCAAAACTAAATATTAATTGCACCGATACGTGCGCTGCACACTACCGCCTCGGTGAGTTTGCCAAGCGTTTTGATGTTTATATTTCATTATTTCGTTCAACGCCGAAAAATTCGTTGTTCAAACCGGTGCGTTGTAATTCCCAAAACGTGGAGAAAGCTAATTTTATTATTATGAGAATGCCGTCGTGAAAATTGATATAAACCCAATCTGTTGCAGCAGCTGCACATATAAAGAATCGCACGCGTGGGTCAACGTCATGACTCCACATTTTTTAGGTTTCCCCCACCCCCCCCCTTCTTAAAATGTATTCAAAGTGATTTTTTTGGCGCGACAATGAGAAACTATCCACATTAAGATGAACCAAGTCCGTAACACGAGTGGACGCGCGATTAACGCACGAAAAATTAAATCAATTTACGTCACTTGAGCCAGTCCCACTACCCGGGGGTCCTCGCCAGGTCAAGGGTTAGAGGCGTGTGGCAGAATTTGGGTGGCCGCAGAGCACCTTCGTAGGTGCCCGTCTCCAGGAGCGTGCCGCTCTTCTCCAGCGCCAGAAATTCGGCCAGCAAAATGAAGTTGTAGTCCACTCCGGGCACTTCGCCTTCTCGAGGTGCCCGTGTCGTGCCTGCATGCATGGACACCAGCACAGTTCCGATATAAGCAACACATCCTTAATTTAGTGCATTGGGTGGCAGGATTTGTCCCAGAAAGGCACCGCGTGTTCAAGCAAAAATAAAATCGGATTGACTTCACTTGGGCGACTGCCATAGGCAACCTTTGACACAAACGCACTTCTGGTGGCTGCATTGGCGAGATGTTAACTACCCCGCCTGGTATGCAGGAGGTCGTGGGTTCGATCCCGATCAAGACGTCTGTGTATTTGGAATTTGCATGTTCCCCCCGTGGTCGCGTGGATTTTTCGCCGGGTCCTGCAGTTTTTCCCTCCACATTTAGAAACGTGCGTATAGAGCATTTGGCTGCGATAAATTTCCACACGATGAGCCCACTTCTCTGAGCTATCATTTGTGTCCAGGTTGCTTCTGTAAAATAGCTATACAGCTCAGTGGGCCTTATGTGCACCTGGGATTTTCTCCCAGTGAGGTGCTTGTATTCAGCTTCTCAAGTTAGTGTAGTTAAATTAGCTGCGATAATCTTCTTTGGTTCTTTCGGTAAAGTCACGTAGAATGAGAATAAAATAATAAATTAATAAAATAACACAATAAAATTCTCACAACGTTTCGGCCACAACACAAGTGGCCTTCATCAGGTGAAGGGACGAGACTCCAGCGCTGTCCTTGAGACAGTCTCGTCCCTTCACCTGATGAAGGCCACTTGTGTTGTGGCCGAAACGTCGTGAGAATTTTATTGTGCTATTTTATTATATTAATTTATTATTTTATTCTCATTCTACGTGACTTTACCGAAAGAACCAAAGAAGATGAATCCTTGCAGTCACGAAAGCTTTAAATCGAAATTTAGCTGCGATAGTTTAAATTATCGTTGAACTATTTACTCATTCAAGGCTGAGAGTAAATGGTGTATCTACTTTCACGGGTGGTGAACAATTGCCCAGAGTGAATTGCAATGCGATGGGCACCTTAGATATGTCAAGCAAGGCAGAAGCAATATCATGTAACGGATGTCCTTACAACGAATGAGAAGATAGCGATATGACATGCCTATTCTGGCAGAAAGGCTTTCAGCATTAACGATAACAATAATTCAGTAAATTTGGTACTTGCCATTTTTATAGCGCAAGGCTATGACAGCACGAAGGTGAATACGTTGCAATGTGTAACTCAAAGCGAGTAGTTTGCGGGTAATATTTAGCAAATTTGGACCACGACGTCGGCACACGATGGCCAACTCGTTTATAACGATGTCAGGGGGGGATTATTTATTGTCCACAATGAAGCGGACGTTGCGTATTTTAACCCTTTGGTAGAAATTAACCAGGGCGGCCTGCCGGAATCGAACCGCGAACCTTCGCAAGCGGCGAAAGCGATGCCCACTTGGCCATGTCACTGCCCCAAAGTTAAAATAATTATTAAATAAAAAATATCCTAAAACTGTATCTGCAATAGGCACATAGTAGCATATTCTTGTGAATAATTTATGGAGGCCTATAAAAAAAAATGTCATTGCCACATTTGTGTGTGCACGGGACTGGCATGCAAGCTTTGACATTCCAAAAGGTCGTGAAATATGCGCAGGTGACCTGACCTATGGAGCACGTTTGTGTTTATGTTTACAGTAAATAAATAAAACTCAAAAGGTGACGGATTAATGCACTCGCACTGGGAGAGAACGAGATGCACGTAATGAGGGGTCCGTGTTTTTTTTTTCCCAGTGCTTGCCAAGGTGAAGCCAACATTTTTTGCTAAGCAACAATATAATTATGGCACTGTTGAAAAAAATTCTTCCCCAACTGCCAATCGCGTCTGACACTTGGTTAAAGTTTTCTTTCGGCAACTTTCAGCAATAAAACAAAGGCATACATTTTATCACATTTCCCAAAGAAACAAAATGTGACAAGTTATTTCCAAACCACACAATCAAATGATGCAATTCAATTTCTTGAACCAGCGATGCACGCTGGGGGTGGCCAAACTGCGGCTCACAAGTTGAACGCAGTTCCTGGGCAGTTCAAGAGTGGCTTGATAGAGACGAGACAACCTTTTTCTAACTTTTCAAGAGGGCTTTATTTGTAAAACGGGAGAAAAAAATCTGCGGGAGTGGAAGCGACTCGGGTTGTTTGCCCCTGGCGGGCGATCAGCACTCCTGGATACTCTCACAGATTTCTAAATTCAAATCTCCACCGTCAACCAGCACTAGCGAACCGGCGTGTAACCACCCCACGTGACCACGTCAGTGACCACGTCAGTGACCAACCCAGTGACCACCCCACGTGACCACCCACAATGACCATGCCACGTGATCACGCGCTGGGAGAGAACAAGATGCGCGTAATGACGGGTGTGTGTCCTGGGTACTCGTCAAGGTGAAGCCAAACATTTTGATAACTGAAAATATTATTACGATCACCAGGATTGAATTGGTAGGCGTGTGAAACACTAAAGCAGCGCAACACGCAGGAACACGCACGTATCCAGTGACCCGAGTTGAATTCCCGCTCACAACCAATAACAGCGGCAAATATTTGAAACTTGTTTTGAGCCTCCCCTAGGTTAACGCAACCTAAAATCGAGTGCCTGTGGTACGGTATATAAACATCAGCACTGGGGAGACATCGGGCGCCGGGAGTGGTGCTGGTCAACACCCCCTCGTGTGCCGTGCCGGCCTTCACGAGGCATCCCTTAACAGCACTTTCCCCAACCGTCTGTTCAAGGCTATATATGGGGGGGGGGGCCTTTGTCTTTGGTGTACACACGCACGACAAAATCACGATGAGGACAGCAAACGCCTGCCTTGGCCATCCTCAGACACCAACACAAAAGGAGACCAAATAGAATTCCAAAACGCCCCCCCCCCATCTTCCTGCCCCAATTTAAAACATTTGCATATTTTTCCTCTAAACAATTGCAAAGATCAGAATTCTCATTACTATTGTTATTATTACAATAATTGCGGCAAGGGCGGGGGGATACCCACAATGGAAATGGCGGGAGACTTTCGGTCGACAATTTACGCGCTCGCAATTGGGGGCTCTGCGGCATCGTTCGTGATCGCAAACAACACGGGGGAGCGAGGGAGGGAGGAAAGAGAGGAGGGAGGAGAGGGAGGGAAAACCAAACACGCCACGCAAGCAGCAGTTGGCAGCAACGCAAATACAAATCCGCACAGAAGCAATCATTTCAATGTTCATTTACCATCACGTGGCAAGAGACGAGCGCGAGCTAACTGCAGCCAAAAAGTTACATTTCACATTCGTTGATGAAATCTAAATTGGTGGCAGAGAAGAGTTGGGATGGGGGGGGGGGGGGGTGCCACGGGGGTTGGAAGAGCCTGCTGGCAGTTGTTCGAGGATCAACGGGCGGCCGCCGGTGAGACTCCGAGCCCAACAACAACAGCGCAGCCGGTGGCAATTTCACAGATAAATAAACTTCAAACGGTCGGCGAAATTGTAAATCCTGTGGAGTTATTACATCACCATCGTCATTGTGAACTCCCACAATGGAGTTCATGTGCAGCTGACACAATTTTGGGCGAGCAAAGGCATACCGGGCTGTTGGGGCAAGTGCCGTTAGGGCGAGAATCGATGAAGGGTGGTTGGGGGTACATGGGGGCGGTGCGGTGTGGCCGGAACCACGTTCGGTCACTTTTGTCTCTCCCTTTGAGTACTGTGGTTCACACCACTACACCAGGTACTTTCATTTTTTTAAAAGCAGAGTCCGCTCATAAAAATTCACCGTTGATGTTAGCCATGGCCAGGGATTGAACTGAAGTGGCCAGGGTTCGTAGCGCAGTGGCCGTCTGGTAAAAACAATATGGTCACAATTTTAGACAAAGTCAAAGTGTCTCCCTGCTCAAACTGGCCATTCGGCAGCGCTCCTACACACTGGCGGCCCAGAGCCCAAAGGGTGGACATTTCACATTTACAAGGCACGGTACGGTCCATCCATATGATGACCACTGCCGACTTCCCACAATGCAGTATTCATTTTATAGAACCTGGACTAGTTGATGGGCCTTTTTGACCGACGACTGGGATTGAAATTCATGACCATCCGATTGCGTTTGGTGTTCCAAGTACAATCACAGTCAACTCTCAATTATATAATGGGGTAATGGGGGACAGAGGGCCTTGCATAAAAGATAAGCACACTGACAACGTAAAACGTACACTGTTTAGGCTACAAAAATGCATGCATCGTTCACCTGCATAATGGGAGCGAAAACACGGTGTGTGGTTGTTGGTGATAATCGTATCCGGTGTTCCTGCTGCAACAAGTTCGCAGTCACATGAGTAGCGGACCTTCGATGAGCGGTAAGGAACCGCTGATAACACAAACCCAGCATTGCTCATGGAGATATTTTTTTTATCCCCCCCTTCTCGAAAGCATGCCAAATCCACCCACGGACAATCGCGCCTTCGTGATAACAAGGCCAATTCGCGCCGGTGCTACATTTCACAGACTGGTAAAATTCTGCAGTAGTTTCACAGCAGGGGGCAATGTCGCAACTCCACCGTCAGGTAATTCCGCAAGCAATTTTCTAATTTTGGCAAATTCTGAGCACGACGACGGCGACGACACGCGCGGCCCCGCCACCAACGATGCAGCAGCGGGCAATGTCGTGGGTCAACGCGCCAGCACTATTAACCGGGGCGGCCGCAGGGCTCACACCGCGAACCTCGGCAAGAAGCGGGGTGGAAGCTTGCCCCTCGGGCCGCGTGCAACGCGCGCCTTAGTGCACGGTTGGGGGGGGGGGGGGGGGGGGGGTGGGAGGTGGTGGTGGGGAGAAAAGGCACCAAAGAAAAAAAATTGTGTCTCCCACGACTTGCTAGCCATTATTCCCTGGCCGATGGACGTGAAGGGAGACATGAGGGGGGTGGGGGGGGGGTTGGAATGGCGGGGGAGAATTCAATAACCCGAGTGAGATCGTCCAAACAGACTTCAGCTACCCATGGTGAGGGCATGCTCCAACCAAGGCACCGCACACAAA